CCTAAATATTAAAACCGTCATGTTATTATTTCATTGGTTTGAACTGAAAACAAAATAACACATAAATATAACAAACTAAATTGAAATTAAATTTTTGGTTAAATTAAAATTGTAACTATTCCGATGAGCATTAATGCCTATAGATTTACATCTTTATTTTCATAATTGTTTMAAAAAGATGGAACTTTACAAGAATTGACTTTCATAAAATAAAGGAARGAGGGATTAAGGTAATCRCAACAAATTAAMTTGTTTGAACCTTAAAACAAAATGATATAAAAATACAAAAGTAAGTCAATTATTATTAGGGAACCAAAMATATTAAACTCACTAAGTGGAAAACTAAATTATAATTTGGCCTTTATTTTAATTTTACTTGYCTTTGTTATCATTTTAGTAGGAAAAYATGGATGGTGATAGAAAAAGGAAAACATACTCTACACTCTCTCAAGAAGAAAGAAGAAAAGTGATTGAATTGTCTGTGCAATCAAGGAAAAAAAGAAAAYTTCAAGAAGGAAGTACACGTCGTATTCAGAGTAAACATGATTTCAGTATAGCCACACAAAATATAACAGATGAAATACAAGGTAAAATTATATCATTCCATCTTAKGACTATCATATTTCAATATCTCTTTTATTACCATTAGTTTTACATATACTAATGTTCGTATTCTAATATTAAACASGACAAATTYTGTATGAACCATTTCATTCTCCAATACACRAGCTTAAAAAGATACCCCCATGTAAATTTTGTGGAGCAATCAAATTTGATCATGAAACTCCAACATTTTGTTGCTTYAATGGTCAGGTATAAATTTCTATTAYGCTAAAATCTTTTTAAAAGGTATTGTATGTTGTATTTATTAGATAATTAAWTTTTTATTCKTAAATACTTCTTTACTGCTTAGGTACATCTTRCCGAAACTGCAATGCCTGATGAGCTAAAATATTTATTTATCTCACAATCTGAGGAAAGAATTTTATTTAGAAAGAACATCYGTGCTTATAATAGTATTTTTTCTTTCACATCATTTGGGGTAAATTTAGATAAAGATCTAGCTTCTTCGCATAAAGGAGTATACACGTTTAGAGTACAAGGACAGATATAT